ATTCCTGATCTATAACGTCACATGACATCATTCTTCAGTCCTGACATGATACATTCCTGATCTATAACATCACATGACATCATTCTTCAGTCCTGACATGATACATTCCTGATCTATAACATCACATGACGTCATTCTTCAACTCTGACATAATTTATTCCTGATCTATAAAAGTACAAAAAAGAAGCTCTGACAATCTCTCAGCTCAAGATATTTGAATTGGTCTTCCTTTTTATACACATGAGAAACATACAACAAGAGTTGCAAGGATTACAGCAATGCTTTCAGATGAAACATTTTATATCTTATTAAAACAATTGTATGTCGGTCATTAAAATGTACAACAATATTTCCAAACAACACAATAAAAACTTGTGTACATGTTGTTCATTACGAAACAGTACAAGTTATCACTCACTCATTCTTAAAAACTGGTAACCAATACACAAGACGGCCTCCAACTTGAAGATGGGCACCACTGAAATTAAGCAGGTCGCGAATTATGTCTTGCAAATTGTATGATACTTTTGATGGAATGTGTCCACTCACCCTGTTTAGAAAAATGAAATGTCACAAAAACAATTGAAAAGTATTTTATACAATTAGTTATATAATTTAAAAATTCAACAAATATAGCAAGACATATAGATAAAATATTAGTTTAGAAACACTTACTTAAAGGAATTGAATGTGGTTATAACATAAATAAAACTAATTCCAATTACTTGATTATATTAAGATGGCTTCATTTTCATTTCAAACATTTTAATACAAATTACATTTTATAAGAAGAGATACTAATAAAACAGAGTGTCTGCACTATGAGCTTGTTACATATAAGACAAACACCTATGTTAAATTAGCTAATATACAGTTAAACAAATTTGATAACTCTGGTGTCTTTATATCAATTATCTTACTTTATATTAAACTAGCTGATATAAAGTTAAACAAATTTGATAACTCTGGTGTCTTTATATCAATTATCTTACTTTATATTAAATTAGCTAATATACAGTTAAACAAATTTGATAACTCTGGTGTCTTTATATCAATTATCTTACTTTATATTAAACTAGCTGATATACAGTTAAACAAATTTGATAATTCTGGTGTCCTTATATCAGTTATCTTACTTTATATTAAACTAGCTGATATACAGTTAAAGAAATTTGATAACTCTGGTGTCTTTATATCAATTATCTTACTTTATATTAAACTAGCTGATATAAAGTTAAACAAATTTGATAACTCTGGTGTCCTTATATCAATTATCTTACTTTATATTAAATTAGCTAATATACAGTTAAACAAATTTGATAACTCTGGTGTCTTTATATCAATTATCTTACTTTATATTAAACTGGCTGATATACAGTTAAACAAATTTGATAACTCGGGTGTCTTTATATCAATTATCTTACTTTATATTAAACTAGCTGATATACAGTTAATAAAACTCTCTAACTTAGGTAGCTTTATAATGATCTTATTCAATTATAAATTAGCTGATACACAACTAGATGGAAAGCAGGTAGTTAACAGCACCAACTGCCAACTCTTGTCTGATCATTAACCCCCTTAAACGCACCCACAGTCCCAAATTACAGACAGATATGTTTTTAGTGGTAATGAGATATGTTATTCAAATCTGCAAACCCATCATCTGGTTTTCTTCATCTATATATTTTCTATCTACCAAAGAAACTATCTGTAAAATTTTCAAGAAGTATTTAATTAAGACATTTTAAAAATAACTTACAAGTGGTCTGGAATAGTGTATGTTTTAGCTGTTCCTATTCTCTCTGTTGCTTCCCGGATTCCATAAGGAGCTATAAATAAGTCAACACCACCACTTATATATAAAGATTCTTTAGTTTGGGAAATACTTTAATCTAAAAAAACTAAAAAGGAATTTACAGCTCTGTAAATAAGGAACAACTATGGGCTGGGTTTGTTTCACATCTTTTCTGTTAATGTTTAAGTAAGTCCAACAAAATATGTGCCTTTGTTCAAAACAAGTGTATGAGGGAATGTGATATTGTTCAGACATTTCTAATCAAGAGAATAACTTTACAGACTCATGGTCTGATAACTGAACAAGTCATGTCATTCTCACGATAAACATAACCACTTCTAAATTACCCATGCCACAGAACTGTGATGTCCTGAAATACATGTCTTTAGTAATAGCATTGATTACTTCCTGATAACCATGACAGAGAACTGTACTGTTCAGAAATATCTGAAATGTCTTCAGTAATGACATTCATTACTTCCTTATAACCATGACAGAGAACTGTACTGTTCAGAAATGTGTGTCTTCAGTAATAACATTCATTACTTCCTTATAACCATGATAGAGAACTGTACTGTCCTGAAATGTCTTCAGTAATAACATTCATTACTTCCTGATAACCGTGATGTCCTGAAATATGTGTCTTTAGTAATAACATTTATTACTTCTAGATAACCATGACAGAGAACTGTGCTGTCCTGAAATATGTCTTCAGTAATGACATTCATTACTTCCTTATAACCATGATAGAGAACTGTGGTGTCCTGAAATATGTCTTGAGTAATAACATTTATTATTTCCAGATAACCAAGACAGAGAACTGTGATTTCCTGAAATATGTGTCTTTAGTAATAACATTTATTACTTCTAGATAACCATGACAGAGAACTGTGCTGTCCTGAAATATGTCTTCAGTAATGACATTCATTACTTCCTGATATAGAAAACTGTGCTGTTCTGGACTACATGTCTTCAGAAATGATATTATTTCTTTCTCTGTGTACCATATCCAAACAGAACGTTGGTGATCATGGTCTTCCACAGATCTCTTCTCCTTGGTGAAGGAAGAATTTCTGATGTTGATATACATTCGTCCATTTAGATAAACTCTTGACATAAGTCAACCCGTCTTCTATGGTCTCTCTTTCCTTCAATCTTTTCAGTTAAGATCTCTTCTCTGAGAAACTCCAACTGTCTCTCTCTAATGTTAATCAGCAGCTTCCTCCTTCAACCTGCTCTGGACAAAATATCTTCATTTGAGGTGTGACTTGTCCAACGTTATAATTTTTCTATACTGAAAATGTATTTCCAATAGGTACTTACCTCCAATCACAAAATTTTCTATTCTCATTCAATGCTGCCCTCTATATACAAACTTTTCCTTTATGCATCCCACAAGCCTTCTGCTCCCTCCTACTGGAATTGAAATATTCCAACGTGTCTCTCATGCAAATCATCATGCATCACTTCTCCACCAAAAGGAGCATGACATGCTCATGCAACACATGTGACTCCCTCTATACACCTCTACCAAACTATCACTTCAAAGTTTGGCAGAAGACTAAACACCAGAGGAAAGTGGGGAGGAAGGGTGGGAAGTGTGAGCAGAAGTAAATACTTATTGGAAATACATTTTCAGTATTGGCAAATTATAACTTCCAATACGGTACTTACCTCCTGTCACAAAATTAGCTAGAATTCCACAATGAACAGGAAAAGGGACTGTTTAGAGGAAATGATAGAAATACCCCCCAAAAGCATCTGAAGGATACTCTTGGAAATGAGAGAGTCAGATCCGAAGATCAGATGAGGGGAACCACACCACTTCTGAAGCAGGTATACTCTTCACCCCTCTGTGAAATGTGGAGAAGATAAGGGTGGAAAAGGAGAGGAGCACATCTAAGTGGGAGAGAACTATGTCAGGATCGTGATCTGAACATATAAAATAAATATAATTCAATCCCATGAATAGAAAAGTGAGTAATATAATGGATGTACCCTCAGGTGTAGAGTGGCTAAGGCACGACGGATCATACTTGGGAAGTCAACTACATCCAAAAACCAATGCTCCTGGATATCGACATCCACACCGAAGTAGGTGAGGATCATACCGTCTTCACCTCAAACCCAAGAGACCGGGAGATTTAGAATTACACCATCTCCTAGGTATGATACAAGTATTAGCACTGAGCTATTAATCCAGGGACCCAACATCCAGCATCGAAAGGATGTCTATCATGTGCAATCAATTCCCATAACTGAGAAACTTACTGGAACCATCCAAAAGGCAATAACATCCCCATATTAAGATAGGAAGAGCCAAATGACAGAACTGTAACAATCCCATGTAACACTCCTGTGACCCACAACACAGACAGAGGAAAATTGAGGGAGGAAGATAGACAACCTGAAACGTGTAAGGACTTATGTTGATTGGCTCTTTTCTAAATCCAAAACCCAGTCACAGGGTACTGAGATCCACATGGGGGCAGGATGAGGGCTCCTAATCAAAGAGGTGAACTGCATTTTGACATATCACTCCTTCATAACTGTATATCGCAAAGAGTAGGACAGTACATCATCTACACCCACAGTACACCACCACCCTACTCTGCACTGAATGATTATAGCCATCTTTATGTGGAACCATTCAGGAGAGTGCCTCCATGGTCAACCACCCCAGCGGCTTGGAACTAGAAAGTGGTAAGGACTCCCATACTCCACTAGAAGAAAGGAGGGTGAAATGGTGATGAAAGTCCGGAGAAACGTCATCACCTGAAACAGTGCAATGGGTGACCACGAAACCCTATTTTGAAAAGCAAACCATACCAAGCTATTCACTACAGGCCTGGCAGGGAGAGGTAGCTATCCCCTTCTGCTTTACCTGTGCAGTACATGGGTGGTACAGTCTAGGATGTGCATGTTTATGAAATAAAGTATCGTGAGATTATTCCCCTACAAGTGATCTTGTGGAACACCCCATCTCAATGGTGAGCATTGATAAGCCATGGAATATAAAGTACAAGTCAATATGGCTGTACAGTGCAGATTTCAAGTGAAAGAATACCTGGTCAGGCACCACTTGCCACATAATCAGGAATGAAGAAAAAGGCCCCTGAAAAGGAAAGAAAGTATGAATAGAAACTTCAAAGTTAGTCATACCGAAATCTGAAGAATGGTCACAGGTGGAAGGCAAAAACCCAACGAAGAAGAAACTGCGATATGATGTAGATACTGGGAGACGAGCATATTGGGTGTGGTCCACATGCCTTATTGTAGAATTTCCTCCAATGGCCGATGAAAACGAGAAGCAAGGGAAAAAGTGAAGTGTCTAATCTGATGAGAAGACACCCAGAACAAATTCCAGGAGGAAGAAAGCAAGGAGGAATAAGCCAATCAGATCAAAAGTTGGACCCAATTAGTAAGAGTTGAAAGTGAAAGATCACGAAAGGAGTAAGATTGCCAGTGGATAAAGAGTCAGAAACGGGTACCACAGAAGGAAGCCATACAGGCAATATAACTACGAAGAGCCCTGACTGGACACAGAAGTCTATGCAGATCCAGTCAAGGGTAAAGATGAGAAATGGAAGGAAGGGAAATAGGCAAAAAAGAGAAGCTACCCTCCCAAGCCATAGAGGTCTTTGGGAGGAAGGAATGACCTGGATAAAGGAGAAGATAGATAAGGTGATAAAGTGTAAGTGAAATGTCAGTGGCAAACAAATCTGACCGTCGACGTCCACAAGGTAAGAGGAGAAGGAAGTATGTTTTAAGGGAAAGGTGAAACATGGAACATGAGGAAAATGGTTTAAATGGAGGTAAAGTGAGGGAATGGAGTACCACATTAACATCCCAATCCAGAAGGGTAGGTCACTTGAGAGGGCAAAGCAACTGGAAGGAACTCAGTAGCATGGTAATGATAGGTGAAGTAAAAACTCTACAGTATCATGAAAAATGAAAGGTATGGGATAAAGCCACCCAATAACCTGAGAGCAAGTAGACAGAGGACCCCCAGTCAAAAAGCCAAGTGAGAAATTCTGCCACTCAAACCACAGTAGGCTGGCCAGCAGGAAATCCCCAAGTTGTAGACCATCTCAGGAACACCTTCCACTTGTGCTGATACACCTCTATGGAAGAAGGATGTATGGACCCAGCTAAAAAGAAAGCGACTCAATGGTAGAAACCAGATCTCATCGCCAAGGCCAGGCTTGACGATGAAGGATGTGAAGGGCAGGATGTAGGACCGGTGTTGTAAGGGTAAGATGTAGGTGAGAATACTGGGCATGGGTCAGACTGACAGGTGATTTGGGAGCCACCCCCCAAACAGGCAATATGGAACCTAACAACTGTTGGTCCAAAAAGGAACAATCAGCATGATGGTATAAAAGCACAAACTGATCTGAAGCCTGCAGGGGGCGAGGCATGCTAATCACATCGCTTAATGCGTGGCAAATTGATCAGCATGAACTCGAATATAAGGGAAGGAGGAAAAACTAAAAAGGGGTGGGATGATTGGTCATGTAGTAAGGAAGGACGTTGCTCATAAGAAATAGGAAAAATGGATAAATCATCACATACCTGAGACACAAAATCCAAAAAAGACCGAGTTAGGCCTAACTGATTCCTCAGGTGGGGTATGAGAATATATGGCAAAATTAGAAGGAGAAAATAGACAATCCAAGTCCTGATCAGTCTGAACAGGCTCCACCCGTTTTGAAGAAACCGGGGCAAGGTTCGAGGACAAAAGCTGGCCCATGTAACGTTCAATCTCCCAGTGGATAAACATGGATAAATCTATCATTGGGTCGCCCACACCTGAGGCCTGAGAAAGAACACTACTTGCTGGTGTGACCCCCCAAAGTGGTAACAGTTTCATCTGGTCCTGTAGCTTTATTTGTTTTCATTCTGTTGATAACATTTTGTACTTCTGACTTAAGAATTAAACATTCAGTCCACGTTCTTCTTAACAGATGGCTTTTCTTCACGACTGATATACTCTGTCCATCTTTTCAATAATTGTTCTCATTCCATAATTACATCATCATTCTTAGCTTTTACACATCCACTAACAGTACATCGTCATTTACCTGTGATATCTTTGATGTAACATCTTTATCCGTTTGTTTGTCTATTTCTATACATTTTTCCTTTTCTTCATTGATCCAAATCTCTTGTCTAGTTTCTTAAACTCTTCTATACTGTGAGTTTTCATCTTTCTTCTATCTTCCATGAGCTCAAGGATTTCCTCCATCATCCATTTCTATTTCTCTTGCCTTAATTTTAATGTAATAACCTTCTTGTTTGTTTCAACTAGTGCTTGTTTAAAAATTTCCCATTTTAACATATTTCCTTCATCTTCAAGTTCTTGAAAATGGTTTTTAACTGTAACTGTATACCTTTCTTTAATCAGATCTTTTTCCATTAGAACAGTATAATTGAGCTTCTTTGTCACTTTTGGCTTCTTACGTTTCTTCAGTCTTATCTTGATGGTGAATACTAAGGACGTGGTCAATCCCGCAGTAAGCCCTTGGGTAAGTTTTGATAGTTTTACTGCATTCCTAAATCTTCTGTTAATAGTGATGTTATCAATTTGGTTTCTAACATTATTTCCAGGACTTTTCCATGTAAACCTTCTTCTGGAGTGCATATGCCTTCAGTAATGACATTTACCACTTCCAGACAACCCATGTCAGAAACTGTGATATCCTGGAATACATATGCCTTCAGTAATGACATTTACCACTTCCAGACAACCCATGTCAGAAACTGTGCTATTCTGGAATACATATGCCTTCAGTAATGACATTTACCACTTCCAGACAACCCATGTCAGAAACAGTACTAATCCTAGAGTAACTACTACTCTAGTATAAACTATTACTACTACACGACAACCGTAGACTACGAACGTAGTAGTACGTACGTACGAGTACATACTAC